GCCCAGTCAAGTTGACACACAACCTTAACCCTCACAATGCCCACGGAAGCAGCAGTCAAGAAATCAAACAACATATTGCATTGGGTAAATCTGCTGCAGAAGACCTCTTTAAAGTATTAAAAAGCAAAGGTGTGCCTGACACAAGCCATGGTACTTTCTATCACCTTATATGCATGCAAAAGCTGGACAATAAATAAGGAAGACCGAAGAAGAATTGATGCCTTTGAATTATGGTGTTGGCAAAGAATACTGAATATACCATGGACTGCCAAGAGAATAAATAAATCTGTCTTGGAAGAAGTACAGCCAGAATGGTCCTTAGAAGCAAGGATGGTGAGACTTCATCTCAAGTACTTTGGATATATTATCAGGAGGGATCAGTCCCCGGAGAAGGACAGCATGCTTGGTAAAGTAGAGGGTCAGCGAAAAAGAGGAAAACCCTCAACGAGATGAATTGACACAGTGCCTGCGACAATGGGCTCAATGTAACAATTATTGTGAGGATGGCACAGGACTGGGCAGTGTTTTGTTCTGCTGTACATGGGGTTGCTAAGAGTCGGAACCAACTCGGTGGCACCTAACAACAACAACAATAAACCACCATGTAAGATTGAATAAGGAAAATAAAAGTCATTCCTCTGTAAAAGCTGACAATCACTGAGGTATTGGACTGAATTTTGCCCTCCAGAATCTCTGTTGAAATCCTAACCCCTGTACCTATAAATATGACCATGTTGGAAACAGGGATTTTTCTTTTGTTATGTTAATGAGGCCACATCACTGTAGGGTGGATCCTAAACCTAATCACTTCTGAATTATAAAAAGACCAGAATAGACACAGAGCCACACACAGGGGTAAGACAGATGTCAAGAGACACCAAGGAACTTCTGGGACTACTGACAAGAAGGACCTCCCCTAAAACCATGCCCGGAATTCAGACTTGTAGCTTCCTGAACTGTGAGAAAATAAACTCCTGTTCTGTAAAGCCACTCACTTGTGGTACTTTTTGCTATGGTAGCACTTGGTAACTGAGACAACTGAGGTACTGGAAAGAGCATGCAATGGGAAGGGAGGAGATGGGGCTAGTTCAGTTCTGAGCTAACCAGCTGTCATGTAAAGATGATTACACTTAGTTCCTGCCATTAAGACTTCGAGTCTGACTTAGGAAATGAGACATGTAAGTTGGGAGGTCACATAAGGACATGGATGTTCTCAGCAGTAGGTGGTTAAGTGTCAAATGAATGGTAGGGCAATTCGGCTTAGAAGAGGAAATGACGCTTGATTTAGAATTAGCCACCTGCTCTTCAAGGGGAGGCATGATATATGGTATATAATCACAATTAATGGCAGATATGAAAATTACATATTCAAAATAAAATAAAAGCCACCTACAAACATGAACCAGCACACATCTGTTCTGTACTGTACGGGTTTGTGTGTTGCTCTGATGCTGGAAGCGATGTCACCAGTATTTCAAATACTAGCAGGGTCACTCGTGGATAGGTTTCAACACAGCTTTCAAACTAAGACAGACTAGGCAGAAAGGCCTGGAGATCTACTTCCGAAAGTCAGCCAATGAACACCTTATGGATCACAACAGAATATCACCTGATACGATGCTGGAAGATGAGCCCCTACGTTAGAAGGCACTCAAAATACACAGTGACCACAACAATGAACTCAAGCGTACCAACAATTATGAAGATGGCACAAGACTAGGCAACATTTCATTCTGTTGTACACTGGTCACCATGAGTCAGAGCAACTAACAACAACACAAACATGAAAGAAAACCATGTGATTAGATTCATGTTCAAAATCACCGGAGCTCCTTCATCTGCCTTCATTCGTTCTTTCATTCATTCAATCAATTGATGGAGGTGACCGAGCCCCTCATTCTCTGTGCCAGGCACTGAAGGACACAGAGCTCGGCTCTGTGTAGCTCAGAGTCTTCCAGGGAAAACATGCAGGCAAGGGCAAGATGATGGATTGGTATCACTGTACACAGGGGCAAGCAAAGGGAGAAGGCGGCACACGGAGCAAAGGCCGCCTCTCAGACAGAAATCTGGTAGCTACACAATGGAATACTACCAGGTGATAAACAACAATGAAGCCGTGAAACATCTTATAACATGGAGGAAGCTGGAGGTCATTATGCTGAATGAATTTAGTTAGTCACAGAAGGACAAATATTGTATAAGACCATATTATAAGAACACAAGAAAAGGTTTAAACACAGAAGAAAACATTCTTTGATGGTTACGAGGGTGGGGAAGGGAGGGTGAGGGTTATTCACTAACTAGATAGTAGATAAGATTATCTTAGGTGAAGGGAAGGACAGCACACACTACAGGGGAAGTCAGCACAACTGGACTAAACCAAACCTAAGAAGTTTCCTGAATACAATCAAACACTTTGAGGGACAGAGTAGCAGGGGTAGGGGTCTGGGGACCATGCTTTCAAGGGACATCTAGGTCAACTGGCATAACAAAGCTTATTAAGAAAATGTTCTGCATCCTACTTCCGTGAGCGGCATCTCGGGTCTTAAAAGCTTGCAAGCAGCCATCTAAGATGCATCAATTGGTCCCAACCACCTGGAGTAAAGGAGAATGAAGAACACCATGGACACAAGGACAGTATTACCCAAGAGACAGAAAGGGCCACATAAACCAGAGACTTCATCAGCCTGAGACCAGGAGAACTAGATGGTACCCGGCTACCACCAATGGCAGCCCTGACAGGGAACATAACAGAGAGTCCTTGATGGAGCAGGAGAAAGGCGGGGTGCAGAACTCAAATTCTAGTAAGAAGACCAGACTTAATGGTCTGACTGAGACTGCAGGTACCCCAGAAAGCATGACCCCTGGATTCTCTATCAGCCCAGAGCTAAAATTTCTGAGGCCAACTCTTCAGACAGGGATTGGACTGGACTGTGGGACAGAAATCGATACTCGTGAGGAGTGTGCCTCTTAGCTCAAGTAGATACAAGAGACTAAACGGGCAGCTTCTGTCCAGAGGTGAGATGGGAAGGCAGAGAGGGTTAGGAGCTGGTTGAATGGACATGGGGAATCAGGGGTGGAAAGGAGGAGTGTGCTGTCACAGTATGGGGAGAGCAGTTAGGGTCATATAACAGTATATGCATAAATTTTTGTATGGGAGACTAACTTGAAATGTAAACTTCATTTAAACTACAACAATAAACAAAAACAAAAACAAAAGACCAGACTTACTGACCAGAGACTGGAAAAAGCCCAAGAGTATGGCCCCGGGCCACCCTTTTAGCTCAGTAATGAAGTCACTCCTGAGGTTCACCCTTCAGCCAAAGATTAGACAGCCCCATAAAACAAAATGAGACTAAAGGGGCACACTAGCCCAGGGGTAAGCACTAGAAGGCAGGAGGGGACAGGAAAGCTGGTAATAGGGAACCCAAGGTTGAGAAGGGGAGAGTGTTGACAGGTCATGGGGTTGGTAACCAATGTCAAAAAAACAATATGTGTACTGTTTAATAAGAAGTTAGTTTGTTCTGTAAACCTTCATCTTAAGTACAATAAAAAAAGTAAAATAATAAAAAAGAAAGAAATCTGGTAGCTGTCAAAGCTGCCCTGTGAATAGTGGGAAAGAGTAGACACTTCTAGGGATAGCACATGCCTCGGCAGTTTTGTCAATGGGCAGAGGTCAACACACATCTTCTACAGCTCCAGCCAGACTTGGTCATATGCCAACTTCCCCTCTACTGAAGTACATCTTCCACTGTATTTGTTTAGAAATTCCATCATGAAGACAGCCCTCAAATAATGAAGCATACATTGGTTGGTTGGGTGGTTGGTTGGTTTTTGATACCTAGCTCTCAGATTTGTTTAGAGGATGAAGTGTGCTATGTAAAAAGTCACTTTGTAAACTCTAAAATGTGACGTAAATGCTAGTTACCTTTATACTAGATTCTGAAGGGCCTCAGAAGCCACCTAGTCCAAAGAGACCATTTTACAAACCAGAAACAGGTGGAGAGTTACCCAAGGTCAATCAGCTTGTCTGGACAAAGGCTCAGGGTGACCCACGGCCAGGACTCCATGGGAAGGTTTTTAACCTTTGAATTCTACACTATACATACTTCTGAATCTTATACTTTTTTTTCCTTCAATTTTCCTACAATTCTAAGCACATCAAATTGAGAATTTTGATTTTGGCAATGCAGTATTTAGACTCCTGGTGAATAAAAGTTTGTGCTATAGCAGACAAAGTTGGAAACGCTCTTAGTGGTTCCTCTGTTAAATCAAGAACTCTATTGCTTTGCTCAAAAGAAATATAATAATATAAGAATAATATAAGAAGTCAAAAGCCAGATGTAAATGAAGGCAGGAGAGAAAGGAAAATGACAAGCAATGGAAAGACGGGGGAGAAGAAGGCAGTGGAGGGATGGAAGGAAGAGAAAGTGTGTTTCTCTGCACTACATGTCAATCTCAACATTGTTGGACTACAAAGCATTTAGCCTGGTGGCCAAGGCTGGTGGAGGAGACCAGTCTCATAACTACATCATCACCCTCACTTCTGAGGACACTTGGTAAAGATCATCAGCACACACGAGAATAAACCAGTACACTTCTGTCTTATAACAATCATGGTGTCACTCATCTTGCTTTCCCTCCTGCCCTGGGGACCAACAAGCTCAAAACCAAAAGTGTCCCCGGCTGCAGACTCCTTGAGGCAGCCTGGTGGTCCTCCTCCTCGTGCTTTGACTTTCCATATCTTCCATTAAACCCTTGTCTAGATGCCTTCTGCTGTAAACAACTTCAAAACTTTCTGAACAAAACAGGGGAGATAAAGTCCAGGAACCGATTTACAAGAAAAGAGGCTTCAGAAAATGCAGAGCTTGTTTGAGAATAGCTCCTCCAGATATCAAGAAGGCTCCAGATTATCAAAAACAGAGAAGAAGATGAAGTCATCTCCAGATTATCACAGAGCACACCAGCCCCTTAGATTATGATTCCAACTCCCAACTTACCAACGGTGTCGCACGGCTCATTTTTGTGAACACAGAAATCAGTCCTAAAAATGAAAAAAAAAAAAAGGACAAAGTCAGATTCATGCAGTACCCCCAAGAATGTGAGAGAAAACACTGTCGCTCCATCCTGATTAATTACCCTGCCCATAGCAAGGCTACTGCTTTAGCTGTCACAAGTTATAGGAAGAACAATTAACAGAACTCACCAGGAGTAGCCCTCCCCCAGCATTCCCTGCGGTAAGCCCAGGAACCCTGTGGAAGACTCTCCTTGTGTAGCTTAAAGACTGCATATGTAACTCTCACAGGTTGGAAGGACTCCTCCCAACAGCTAAACAAGTTCTGGAAGAAGATATCTGTCAAGCCCTCCTGCCTGGGACAATCACCAGTCAATAAATGTCTTCAAACAGCAGTGGCTTCCCCAAGCAACAACATTTGGGCAGCAGCTGGTTCTAGATGCTGCGATATATGTATCCCTTATATGAGAAGATAACAAAAATGTCATTTTTAAAAATGATATTGTTTTCACTCCCAAAACTCGGCCCAGGGTGTGGGTGTGGACAAGTGACCCTCAAGCCTGGTGCAGGCCTGGCTCTGCAGGTGATGAGGGCTCACTCTGGCCTCTGCCTTCCCATGTATAAAATGAGGGGTCTGGGCCCTTCTCTCCACATACCAACTAATTCCCACAATTCCTCCGATTAGTCCACTCAGTCAGGAGCTGACCACAGAGGACTGGCTGGGGTAGGGCCCTGCCTGGGAGCTGGGTGAGGACAGCAAACAGCCTGGCCCCAAGCGTGTCCCTCCGAGAGCCCCGCGCCCAGTACTTTGCATGGCCCGGGGGTGGGCTGTTAGAACACACCCAAGTGCACAGATTTAAAAGGTGTGTTTTGAAGGCATTTCACTTTTTAAAAAACTTTTAGAAAGGAAGAAAGAGCTAGCCATTCAAGGTTTGCACTAAACAAAGTTGTGAAAGAAAGTGGCAGATCCTGGCTTAGGCCACACCTAGTCCTTCGGTGTCCTCGATTCCCCCCTTCCCTCTACCAAAACCTACTCTCAGGGAAGGATCTGACCTGCAATCCCGCTGGAAGGCAGTGTGTTACTCCCCTTTCCCTCCACTCTAACCCACCGCACATTCTGTTGTGTTGTGCCTTCAGAATATAACCCACACTGGACACTTCTCAGCACTGAGTGGGCTTCCACATAAGTGGAGCAATGCCTGTACGTTCTCAACTCCAGCTTTGCTTCAGGCTCACCTGAGGGTTGTTAAAAGTAAAGATTGCACGGGCCCACTCAGACCCTCAGATCCCAGATCTGTAGGTCTAAGAAGTTCTATTTGGGGTTCTGATGTACAGAATCTGAGATCCAAGCCCACTGCCTCAGACCAAATAAGTCCGACTAGGAGTCCCAACAAGAGGGCAGGGCAGACAGCGTGAGGTGGGCGGCAGCTCTGAAGGTGTGGCCCACGGAACTGGCCAGAAGGAGTGTGAGGAGCTCAGGGCCAATCATGTCAGCAACTTGTGTGCGTTTGCTTCTTTGAAATTTCTAATTTTTTCATAGGTAATATATATATTTTTGGTAAACAATTTAAAACTATTTTAATAAAGAAAAAAAAAAAGTCTTCAAAACTCCCAGACTTGTCATAACCTCATTCCAAAAAACAAAGGACTATCCATGGAAATGGCAAGGAGATAACAAAAAAGAGCTGAAAAAGGAAGTACTGTAACTGGGTTTCTCTGCTAAGGACTCTATTTTAGAAGACTAGCAGGCAGCAGAGGGTGACAGAAAGAAGTACTGCAGAGAGAAAGCCAAGCCAATAAAATTAGGGACATAAATATCCACACTCTTCTGATATCTAATCCCAACCCAACATTCCTTTTCCAACACCCTTCCCATTCAAATATTTTGGACCTTTCCCTTCCTCTCCACACCCCCCACCCCCACCCCACGTACATACCCTGCACTCACACACTGAGAAGAAGGCCAGGCTGACCCGGGACCTTGTCCCAGGGCTTCCCAGAGTCACGCAATAGAGCTTGTTGAAAGCTTCATTCTGCTGCCTCGGCTGGTCAGACAAAGAAGAGTGCGCTGCCCTCATTCTGGGCACCATCTTTGAGAAAGCTAGTCCTGTTGGCTGATGGCGTAAGGTGCTGCGTTTTCTATCCCTCTCATGCCATGGCCCCCCTAAAGGGAACCAGGTGGTCTCCAATGAGAAACGCTATGGCATCACCCATTGCTTTTCCTGAGGAAGAGGGGGGAGGTGTGGTCTATTCACAGAGACCAGGCTCAATCAGAGGTCTGTCCTGAAAAGGCCAGTCAAAATGTGAATCTTCTCTCTCCTCATTCACAGTGCTTTCACAGAAAAGGAAAAGTAAGCTGCCTGCCTGCAGAAGCAACTTCATTCCCAAGTAATCCTGCTTCTGTTAATTAGCAGGGTCATGGACTGCCAGAAGACTGAACAAATCTGTCTTGGAAGAAGTACAGCCAGAATGCTTCTTAGAAGCAAAGACGGCGAGACTTCATCTCAGGTACTCTGGACATGTTATCAGGAAGGACCTGTCCTTGGAGAAGGACGTCATGCTCGGTAAAGTAGGTTAGTGAAAAAGAGGAAGACCCTCAATGAGACGGACTGACACAGTGGCTACAACAACAGGCTCAAACACAGCAACGATCGTGAGGATGCGCAGGACTGGGCAGTGTTTTGTTCTGTTGCACACAGGGTCCCTATGAGTCGGAACCAACTTGACAGCACCTAACAACAACACACTTTTTATGTCATCTCACTGCAAACTCACACCAAAGCCACAAAGCAGGACCAACAGGGTTCATTTGGGAATGAAAAAAAACGAGGGTCCAAACCTAGCTCTCTAGGCTCTATGTCCATAAGATTCCACTGCTCATTCCTCAAGACAAGAAAGGATGCCCATCATGGGCGTGTGACCTGCACAATCACACAAGACCCCATGCTTAGAAGGCCCCCCACGCTTGTTTAATGTTCTGCGGTCGCCATCTGGAAATTCTTACTAACATTTGAACATGGGCCTTGCATTTTTATTTTGCACTGGGCCCCCAAAATTATGTAGCCAGTCCTGTGCATAACCTACTGCCTGGCACACTATTTGTTGTTGTTAGTTGCCATTGAGTCGGCTCCAACTCATGGCAACCTTATGTACAACAGAACCAAACATTGCACAGTCTCGCGCCATCTTCATAATCATTGGCATGTGTGAGTCACTGCTGCAGCTATTGTGTAGTGCCTTCCAACCCAGAGGCTCATCTTTCAGCACACTATTGGACAATATTCTGTTGTGATCCATGGGGTTTTTACTGGCTAATTTTTAGAAGTAGATTGCCAAGCCTTTCTTCCTATTCTTAGTCTGGAAGCTCCACTGAAAACTGGGTGACCCTGCTGGTATTTGAAATACCAGTGGCATAGCTCCCAGCATCACAGCAACATGTAAGCCACCACAGTATGGTAAACTGACAGATAGGTGGTGGCACATAGGTGGGGTTAATAAACACCGGCTCCTTTATGAAATGACTAACGTTTCCAGGGCACTGTCAATCTGCCCAGCCAGTTCCACGGTGGCCATGTCGTTCACCAACACTGGTAAAGCGTGACACCAAAGGTACTCTCAGAGTCTCACCACCACAAAGCCAGTGAGGGGCCCCCCTGGGTCAGACATCAAGGGGAGACCGCTCCTGGAGAGATGGATGAAGTGCTGCTGGGAGGGGGAGGCTGGCAGACGTCTGGGTGTCCTGTGGACGTGTTCCAGGTGGCCCCCGCATCTGCCCTGGGCTTCCTGGCATTCTCAGCACATAAGCACAGACCCGGGCCTGGTGGGAAAGCACTGCTTCTCTAGCAGACACGGAGCCAGGCGTAGAGCCATACCAGATGTGGAGGCCCCCCTGGAGCCCCAGTTCTCTGTGACCCCATGTGGCCCCAAACCCAGTTCACTCAGGGGCCTGTTCTAGCCCCAGACACAGCTGCAGCTGCTGAAAATCCAGCTCCTGCTGTTTCTGGCTCGTGGCTCCTGCTGGACATGATGTCATGGCCACGTCCTCCACGGCCGGCCATCTGTTGCTTGGTAGGTGTCCAGGGGAATCCACTTTCAGGTTCGGCTACTGCTCAAATGGGAAATTAGAGAGAAGAAACCCTCACATTATCCCCCCCAGGTGAAGGGCCCAGGGGCTGCAGCCCCGTTAACACCGACTGGCCAGGCAGCTTCCAAATAGACACTCAGCCAGGCTTCCTTGGGAGGAGAAGGCTGCTTCTTGAAAGTGGCAGCACCTTGCACCTAACTTCCTCCTGAAAACATCGGCTTGCCAAGCCATGATTATCCCGACCTCGGGGACGGCAGCTATCGGTCAGTAATCATCAAACAATGCTTCTCAGCCAACTCAGCTTCCCACCCAACTCCAATGCTGGTGCCCACCTGTGCTGCTGGAGGCCTCCAACATCTGGGAGGACCCAGGGAAGGGAACACACACTTATCCTTTCAGGCCTATTGGCCACAGAAGCAAATGAGAGGAATCATGATTGCTCAGGTAGCTTGGGAAGGGTCAGCATGAAACAGGGAAGGAAAAGGAGGCAGCAGGCAATCAAGTCATCACAAGAGGCCTGTTCCATCCACGCCCTCAAAGCCCGCCACCTGTGGCTGAAGTAAGGTGGCTTCCCAGGCCGGGGACAAGAGCTCACTCCTCCCGCTGCTGCACGCCCTCTGGCACCTGCACTTACAAACACACCTGTCTTAGCCTCCTGGAGCTGCTGCAACAAAGCGCCACACACTGGGTGGGTTATTAGAGCAGAGATTTACTGTCGCACGGTTCTGGAGCAGGGAGTCCAAAATCCGGGCATCAGTCATGTTGCTTCCTTCCTGTCCGAGGGGTGGAGCTGCTCCACGCCTCTCTCCCAGCTTCTGGTGGCTCCTGGCAATCCTCGGTGTTGTTTCGCTTGGAGCTGCATCTGCCTCCCTCAATACTTGGCCATCCTTCCTGTCCGTCTCTCTGCGCCTGCTCTCCTCGTTTATAAGATACCCCTTGGGGAAGC